GCTATCAGGTTGGAGGCCATCGCTATTAGGTTGGAGGCCATCGCTATTAGGTTGGAGGCCATCGCTATTAGGTTGGAGGCCATCGCTATTAGGTTGGAGGCCATCGCCATTAGGTTGGAGGCCATCGCTATTAGGTTGGAGGCCATCGCTATTCGGTTGGAGGCCATCGCCATTAGGTTGGAGGCCATCGCAGATAGAATTTAGTTAATGTTGTTTAAGCTTTTCGGGACGCTTGCATCTTGGGACCACACCGTCACCGCTGCGGCGGGCCGAGGCGTGATTTGTGTCGAGGCATTCCGAGCGACTGGCCTCCAGCAATGCTGATTCGCAAAAGGGCAACCAAGCGATTCTCCAGCTGTCCGGTCTGTAGCATCTTTAGGTTTTGCATCAAATCTAGAAGTCATCGGATCTTTACCCACTGAGTGGGGGTCTGCATGGCATGTTGTTACCATACCCTTGCATCAGCAAATCTGCAAGAAGCTGGCAACGTCTGTGATCGCCCACCTGTGCCAGGTTGCAAGGGCTGCCAGCACAGCACCCTTGCAACAGCCGGACCAACTCCCTGACGATTGCGCCTCACCCGACCAGCTCTTCGATCTTCCAAGAAACTAAATCAACCAATACAGTGGTCCTGAATGGGCTCTGGCATAACAGGTAGCCTCGATGGGACCTGTGGAAAGCTCCGCTCCAGAAGGCATGAACAGAATGAGAGCTTGAAAGAGCATGTCGACAACAACTGAGATTCATAAGGTGCTTCGTTGCCAAATCTTCTACAGAACCTGCAAGACTTCCGCCATGTTGCGCCTCCAACCAGAACACTCCAGGCGTCCACCCTACCCCGCGCGCCCAAAGGGGCGCGGCCATGCGAAAGGCTTCGTTATATAAGCCACGAAAAGGATGTGCAGGAATGGTTCGATGGATTCACATCCGTCTAATCCTCCAATGGGCTGAATTTCAATGCTCTGTTCGGGATGGGATCCTAAAGGAGCTGTCTGCAAGTGGACGTCCCTTCATCAGTATGTCCACTCACATAACATGTCTGTTGCTGCTGTTCTGCTTCTGATCCGAATACTACAAGGGATAGGGCTATTCAAATTGGCAAAGCTGGATTCCAGAACAGCTGTGCTCCACTTTCTCCCAAATGGCAAACACTAAAATACATTTAACCTACCTGCTTGCAAAGCCCCCAAGTCGAAAGCTGGGTCCATCTGCACGATGACCTCGCGCCCTTCGCTGATCTCCTGGTAAACGCTCTTGTGAAGGCCAAGTTTATCTTTTGGGTGTCATCTGGAGCCCCGGGGAGTCTGGTGAAGCTATATATTGTTGGCCAGGAAGAAGGTTCATTTCTGGTCGCGAACAAGCTCCTTACCACTCAGCGGCCGTACCCGCACCACAACCTCCATGGCATTCCAAGCAGTGCACAAAAACTGACAGGTGTCATTGGCAAGCAAAGCATCAGCAAAAACAAATTGATTCTCACTCCGTGGCCCTTTCTTTGGCAATGAGAGCACTCTGGCCTTGACGCACTCACTTTTGTTCCTCAGGTGAAGGAAAACAAGTTCACAAGTTCGTCAATTGATTCGAAGCCACCTTGACAGGGGGATCTGATTTGTATAGCTTTAAAAAGCGAAAATGGATACGGCCGACCCACTACTTGGATCCTCTGTGGCCATCAAAGCTAAACTAAACTCACACATACAAGCAAAGGAAAGCTTCCCATGTTCCTTTAAAAACAGCATCAGGCGTGAGACTCTCGTCTCCCTAGCCATGTAAGTGAATAGCCATTCCAGAGCCACTAGAGTAAGGTGGCCGCTTGAGCGTCCCAGACGAGCTAAAGGACCCCTGGCAGCTTGACAGGCTGAGACTTGCAGCTGGTCAGAAAAGGCTTGATGGGACAAGTCTCTAGGATGCTGGAGAAAAAGCTAGTCAAGATGTTTACAGCTGACAGAAAATGCCAACAAAAGCCCCGGCCGAAGCATCTGGTGGCGGTGCTGGTGGCGTCAAAGACATGGCGCCCAAGTGCCGCTCTGGAGGTGAATTTCAAGCAAGACTCTCTTGAAGAAAAGAGAAACTCTTGCACCTTAGACTCGACCTGAAGGCCAAACGCTCGCCATGAAGAGCGTCTAGCACGTGGGAAAGTTCAAAGAAGTTGTGAAAGAAGTTGTGGTGTGGTACAAGCAGTCATGCAAAAAACATGCCGCAAACATGTGTATGTGGGCAAAACAGCTGCAATGTGCTGTCAATATGAAAGTTGCGTTGTGTGACCTTTGGAAGCTTTCCAAGACCAGCACTTCCAAGTCTTCTGTGTTCCACAACCCAAAGTATTTGATTAAAATTGTGGCTGCCTTCGCATTTTTCTGTCTGTTGACACATCCTCCCCTGAAGGAGCAAGGAAGCATGCATTTGCAGCTTCATTGAATTACAATTTCTCTTTGGAAGTTCCTGTTGCGCAAACCCTGTGCGTCCACACCCTTTGCAAGCTCTAGTGGCACAAAGGTGCTCCCACAATTTCTGCCAGAAAGCCTAGCAAGTTATATAGCTGACCTCTTAGATCACCTGCAAAAGTTAGGATACTTGACACAAACGTTCCAGAACCATCTGGAAGACATTACTCATTACTCGCAATTGAACGACGTTTTCATAGTTAAAACATGAATTGGAAAATGTCTCTGCACTAATGACACTAATGAGCTTCTCGTTGCTTTGGTCTTTTTCTTGTGTCCTTTCAATTCAATGGAAATTTCGAGTTCTACGGCTTTGATCCTAAATGCTTCGGCTCAACCCTCGCGGTCAGGTCCCGGGCGTGAGCGAACGCAACCTGGGCAGGCTGCTGAAGTTGATCAAAACGACACCTTTTTAGTCCAAGGGGGTAGGCCGCTAGGAGGTATATCAAATAAAGCATATGACACAGGAAAGTTTTAAAGCATGTGGTTCATAGATTTGTCTGGGAAAACTTAGCAGAAAGTACATGTGCCAGCATCTTGGGGCCTCATCCGGACCAGAAATCAAAGACATCTCGATGTCCAAAAACAAAGTCTGTATATAGAGGCTTGACTCGTGGTTTGTCGGGGGATCATAATCTTGACAGTGTTCAGCCACTTAGGCTCTGCACTCTCTTACTGCACGGGTCAGCCTCGCAAGCAGCGTCTCCTCAATGTTTGGGAATCAACAAGCTCACCCAACTTTCCATTTCAGCTCTCCTGCTCCGCCATTGCCCGCTCAAGGCCCATGAGCCTTTCGGCCTCTTGCCTGACAGGTCTGAGCAAAGGGGATCTATGATTTGGTTCCGTTTCTGCTTGCTGCAGTGGACCTGCATAAAGCTTTTTGGTCCAGTTGCTATCATGAAAGTCTCGGAGGAATATATATATATATACATACAGTATATATATATATATATATGGTACCCCCCCAAGCAAAAAAAATGTCTACCTCTTTTAGTGTTGATTGGTATTTGCGGTGTTCTATGCACATTGTTTCTGGTTTGTTTGGGGAGCAAATTTGAGATGAAAGCGGGTACCATATATATAGCGGAAAAGCCCTCCCTACCGAGGGAGGTGAACGCGCGGGCTCTTTCTCCTCGAGCTATGAAAGGTCCCTGGCATGCGTCACGTGTGGACTCTGAAACTGCTAAAACTCTAAAAGCAAAAAGGCGACTGGAGTCGGGTGCTTCCGGATTCCACAATCTCATAGTTCTTCGTCGAACAACTCCAATCTTTTCAGCTCAACACCTGCAGCCATCTCGACCTTCTGTCATCGCCTAGCTCTTGAACTTGCAGACCGATGAGGTCCGGGGTATGTCGTGTGGTTCTCTTCATCGATCTCGGTCACCGCCGTGAGATAGTCCACCAAATCCCTCACCATGAGGGTGAGATTGTCTCGATGCCGCTGGGACACCATCCACCGGCAGTACGACTGCTTCTCACGATCGGTCGAGGAGCTGAGTTCCTCGTATGACAAGTTCGCCTTCCCGAACTTGGCCGTCTCGATCAGGGTCTTTCCCCAAGTGGCCAGGGTGTCAATGCCTGGTGGGGTTATGAGATTTTTCACCAGCCAGAGATTGGAAATCCAATGAATTAATTGTTTGCTGTTTTTTGTTTTTTTGCTGTTTGCATTTGCTGTTTTTTTGCTATCGTTATTTTGCTATTTTTTTGGCATTTTGCATTTGCATTTTTTGGGTGTTTTTTTGGGTATTGTGGATTTTGCTGCCTGGCGCCTTTGCTGAGGAAAAGTGTTGTATTGTTATTGAGTTGTGGCTTTGGTGGGTGATTTCAACAGTACGTCCTTTGTGTTTGTTGCTGGTTGCCTTAAAGCGCGTTTGCATCCATGTGGTTGTTCTTTATCTTTGCTCTTCAGTGTAAAGAACATCTGGGAAGGCAACTCTCATTTCGGAGACATTGGGACAGGCTGCCGCCCGGTCATCCCAGACAACCGAAACAACAGGACCTGCATTGGTTGGAAGGATTAGATTAGACAAAAGGAGGGATGGCCAAAACAACGCTTGGTGGAATTGGGGTTCCCTTCGGGAATGGCATGGGGGATGGCAAATTGGAATGGCAAAAAAATGGCAAAAAAAAATGCAAATCCTCGAGTTTTTGCAATTTTTTCGCTATTCCTGCAATTTGGTGGTTTACAGAGATTTGCCATTTTTTTGCCATTTCAAAACTTTGGTTGTTTTGGTTGTCAAACAGTGTGCCATTCTTTTGCCATTCTAGATTTTGAGGATGAGTCAACACCACAGGGGATGCCAGGCAGAGTTTTTGCTTTATGTGGACGGCTGGTGTTGGGTATTCCTGGTAGTAGGGCCACTGCATAGGGCAACTAAGAACTACTACTGAGCATACATTGCATCTATATACAAGGGGGCTACTGGATTATGGCCATAAAGAAAAAGCGTTGCCACATGTTCTACTCATGATTTTTACATGCTCTTGCCAATGCTCTTGGCCTCACTGGTACAAGTGTGAGAACTCTGCGCTGCTGCAAGCGCTGCAAGCAGGGGAACCAAAAAAAGAAAAACATTGGGAAAAACACAGTAAAAAAAACAGCAAAAAAAACAGCAAAACAGAACGCCAAAAAAACAGCAAAAAAAAGAAACAGCAAAAACAATGGGAAATCAGAACGCATAAAAAAAACAGCAAAAAAAAGGCGAAACAATTCAACTGGAGCTGACCCAGTCTGTGGCTATAAACATCTCATAAGCCTGGGGGAAAAGAGACACTGCCTTGGCCAGACTTCTGGCGAGCCGCTGGCATGGCCTTGGCATAGGCGATCGAGGCTGGAACCTCACCGGCTGTCTCAGCCGTGAGGCGACGCTTGCTTGCGTCAGACATAGTCCCGGACTCATCTCGAATCCTCTCGGGAGATGCAGCAACCATCTCAAACTCAAGCTCTCCATCCTTCTCCAACTCATGGAGAAGAAGGCCAGTGAGACCTTCGGCTTTCACCTGGTCTAACAAGCTCTTCAGGGCTGGCGACAACTTCGGGCACGTCCTAGTCATTTTGACTAGGAGGAAACTGCACACGGGTGTCAACTGCTTCGAACAAAAGGTGTGCTTCAGAGTCAAAAACAGCGCTTCTACGATATCGAAACGCGACGAACATGCCGAAAAGCACTGCGCTCGCACAGTGTACCCCTTTGCGCATTGCAGTCTTTGTGTAAATACTGAAAAACAGTATGACCCTCACAAAAGCTCATCTCAAAAACACTCACCATTGAATTCTTCACAGCTCTGGTGGAGGTTGTTCATCACACTTGGAGGGAGTTTCTTTCTTAGCCCTCCTGAGTTCTTTTTCATGAGCCTGGTATTCCAACACTGTTTCTTCGGGAGATATCTGGTAGCTGGAGCGACGAACGCATCCTCTCAACAGGTCTATGGGATCCCCTTCATTTTTAGTGAGGCCATCAGCTAACATGCGGCTTGTCGGAACCCATCGAACATGTGCTGTCATGGCACGGCAGCTCTCACGAATGATGACGATGTCAATGCTCGTGCGACGATCATTTACTGCAGTAGGTGAAGATGGAGAATGAAGATGATCGTACAAACTCTTGCAATCGGAGACGATGATCGGCCTTCGTCTTTTCAGGACATCACGACAGGCGCGGACAGTCAGAGGTCCATCAAGGATCTCAGCAAGCATCAACAGCACCCATTCCACTGTGCCGGTGGCTGTTGACAAGGCCTGACTTTCTGCTCCCAAGGTGCTACTGACTGCTCTAGCTAGCTTGTAGCTCTTCCAAGCTGCAGGACACCAATGGGCTTCATGACCATCTTGAAGCTCGTTCTCAGTGAATCCTACGATATAGCCTGCTTGAGTGCGATTTGCCCTGTTTGCGAAAGCAGCATCACTATGACACACTACCGTAAGTTCAGACGGTTTGATGGAAGGAAAGGTCACACCCATTTGACTGTTCTGCTTATAGCCCTACGGATGGCATGGTTAGCCATGCGGAAGTCTTCAATCCGCGGACGAGGAAACGCTTGTTGCGACAGGCTTGTTTGCACACATAGGTCCGGTCGGGCCTGAGAGGACAACCAGCTCAGACTTCCACTCACTGCTCTAAGAATCTTGACTTGCGAGGCTGACAGTGGATCATCCGGTTTTGTGTTCTTGGGCAAATTGATGGGACGAAGCTGGTCCGTGAACGATTCCATACTCATGTGTATCGAGAAGTCGGAACCTCTAGGCCTTCTTCGATCGGTTTTCGTGTCAACACAAACCGGCTGCCTATGAAACGATGTGCTTGGGTGTCCTTGATTTCTTGGGCCCTCTTTCCATAGTGAATCTTCACAGCATGGGGTTTGGACGAAATGGTTTCCCATTCACTTCGTTTTCCCATATCTACCATTCTCTGAAGGTGAACCCTGAAGATCTGAACACGTTCACCGTGAAAGGACAGTGGTGCCTACAAGGCCACTTGGATCCCGATTTGTCCGCCAAGGCAGAACTCGGTATGTTGAAGTCTCCGACACTTAGTCAACTCGGCAGGATGTGCCTCGTGCAAACGA